TGGGAAAGATGATTAAGAGATGAATATTGCAAATATTGTGGAAGGATTTTGGAAAGCAAAGCTAATCATGACAATACAGTGGATCCGAACTAGTTCACAGAGAGGAGATGGTTAAGGTAATAAGAATCGCTCAATGACTGGAGAGGAAAGATGGAAGAGGAGTGAGATGGGAGGCAGTAACTCAGCAGCATAAGGAGGAAGAGAGACAGTTAGGGACTTGAGAAGGAAGAAGAGAGCTGGGGGAAGGGCTATGGACTCCAAGGAAAGGAGCACAATGCTCTGTGGAAGTTAGAGACAAAGCCGGTTGAGTAGCTGTTGCTGTAAGTAGTGATTGGTGGTGCAGTGATAAAACGCAGCGCTCTGAGGCCAAGCCACATCGTCAAATTCCAGGTTCGGGTCCAGAGACCTCTTGTACAGTATTTTTAAGTTGAATGTAAAATTGAGCAGAAGATACAGAGTTTTGTTTTTGTTTCTGTTTTCATTGCCATTAAACTCCAAATATATACAACCTGCATCTTTATTAAAAAATTAAAAGGGAGTGTAGAAAACCCCAGAGTGAGGGTTTAAGTAGGGACTTAACTGTGAGGAACTGAAGTCTCGAGTTTCCAGTAGGAATTAAAAATTGTTATGGGAGAATACAATAGTTTTACAAAAGCAAGAAGAGAGGATACCTGAGGTATTTATAAAATGCTTGCAAGGACCTGCGGGGGTGGGGAAGGAGAGAGGAGATTAAGGGACAGATGTGAAGAAAAAATACTTCATGAAAAACACTGTGGGGGATGGTATCCAGCGAACAGGAGGAGTGAGCTTTTGTAAGACAGTGATTTTGAAATGAAAACAAGGTTAAAAGAACTCAGGTCAAATGGCTTTCGGTGACGTGAGAGAGAAACAGATGTTGGCTAAATGAAACAATGAGATAGAGATAGACTGTGAGAATGGGAGAAAAGATTTTAGTCTTTGCTATGGAAAACTTGAACCCGAGTTTGGAAACACTTCTTTTTTTCTTTCTTTTTTTACTGTATTTGAAAGCTATGAGTGACTCTATTTGTTGATCACAGATTCCAGGTTAGAGTCCAAGACCTCTCTGAGTACATATAAAAGGTGGTAGGTACTGAGGACGCATTCACATTCAACATAGTTTCATAACCTTGGGCAGTCCCAGTGGTTGAATGTTGTGTGGGTGAAGCAGGATCCAGGTGGACAAATAGAAAACAAAGAAAGCTAAAGAGGACTACACATGTCAAAGTGGTCACAAAGCCATCGTTGATGTTCATAGTTGATCAATCAGGGTACTACAGGAACAGAGGTGTGTGAGACCCTGCAGACATGACACACTGAATGGGAGACATGAACTGAATCACTGTGAGTAATAGGGACAACAATCACATTAAATAGGAGAAAAAGAAGTTTAGGCGGTAGAGATGGCACCAATATTGAGAAGCTGAGGCCAGGCAGGTGGGATTATTATGGCCGATGATGAAACATGAGGATTGGTCATGGATCACTTTCTTGTTTGGAGTCAAGACACAGCTCATTGGAGTTGACAAGATTAAGGAAATCTCCTGGTTAAGAGGTGTGAGGACTTATTCACAGGGTTGCTGATGAGGCTTCGGCCGACGGCAGGTGGTGGATGACTTGGATGAAGAGAGGATGCCAAACTACGGTAGTAAGGACAGCGAAATGAACGCGGTGTGTGACGGTTGCAGAGCATTGGTTTAAAGTGACAAAAGGAGAACAAGGATGTGTTGACCGCTCTTTTTAGAGTGGCTTTCACAGGGAAGTGGTTGTCCGGTGTGAAATCAGAGTGTGCTTCATGGGAGCGGGTAGGTGGAAGGAGCAGTTAGTGGAGTAATAGAGGAAGACAGAATTCTTGGCTCCCATCAGACCAGGGGGACGGTGCAGGGGTGAGTATGAGAGTGACAGGGAGTGGGTGTGATGAGGATTGAGCTGAAGTGTGGACGGGAACGATAGGGAGACAGAGGTTCACTCAGGAATGGATCTAAATTACACAATGAAAAGCATAACCGTGGGAGGTGGGCAGGAGTCACAGAGTAGGAAGCATCTGCTGAGCCGACTGGACATACTCAGGGGAGAAGAGCAAAGGTCTGCACAGTCCAGGGGCCCAGTGGGAATGTTGGTGTAGAGGACCTTCCACAGAACACTGTTTTGGCTTTTTTTTTTTTTTTTTAAGTTTTATTTATTTCTTTCATGAAAGGGAGAGAAAGACAAAAAGACAAAGCCAACAGAGTTTCCATACTGTGGTCCATCCCCAGTCTTGGCCAGCCTGGTTCACAGGCACTTATGTGCCACTGTGCCCAAGGAGGTCCTGGGTCAGGAACCCAGGAGCTTTCCAACGCGGGTCCAATTGTTTCCACTGTGCCACCACCTGGTCGCCAGAACTGTTCTTTGGGTAGGGGATCTCGGCAGGTGTGTGTGTGTGTGTGTGTGTGTGTGTGTGTGTGAGAGAGAGAGAGAGAGAGAGAGGTGGGAGAGAGGACTGACCATCTGCTGGCATAATTTACAAAACAGGTTAGGACTAATAAAGATGTTATTGGAAGTTAAAAATAGTCTTTAAAACCAAAGTACTACTAGAGGATAGTTGAGGACCTCAGCGTGAGCATCTTTTGGGAACCTGTTAAAAACGCCAAGTTTGGGAGACCATCAGATGTGTAATGATTATGTATCTGGGCTCCCACCTAGTGAACTGCAGTTTGAGTCTCGGACCCAGTGACTTAAACTCATGCCGGGCACATGTGTGTGTGTGCCCAAGATCCTGAGAGGAGAATGGAGGAGAAGGGATTGCGGTGTGGCCATCCCTCCTGGAGGGTGATTCCTCACTGTTTCTCTGGCGAGCACATGCAACCTCTAGAAAAATTTCTCTTTAAAAAAAAAAAAAGCCAAATTTGCCCCTGCTCTGGTCCTGCTCAGTTAAACTCTTGGGCCTACCCATAATTTTTCTAAGCCTCGTGCTTCTCAGGCACACTCCAAATGCAGAAACGTTTCTAATCCCCTGCAGTAGCTGGCACCTCAGGAAATGACCCCAGAGGGGCAGGGATTGAAAGGTCTCCGCAGTTCACTGCTCAGGGCCCAGAGTGCGGGATGATGTCGTGTGACAGGGCTGGCATCAGGTCCTCACTGAGTGTCCCACATGTGCCCTTCAGACGCCCTTTGGGAGAACTTGCTGTTCTGGCTGGCGGAGGAGCTCTCGGAAGAAAACTCCGAGTCCCTTTTCTCCTCGCTCCCTCTGCGCCGCAGCACTGTTCAGCTCGTCAAACTCAAGAGCCCTGAGGATCTCACAGCACAGATCCACGAACTCCTTTGCTTCTGGAAAAAATCACTCCCCACTTCCACGGATAAACTGCGCCTCCTGGCTCGTCATCTCTGCAAGATTGGCAGGAAGGATCTTGCAGAAGAGCTCAAATGCAAGTGGGAAAATAAGGTGTTCACTGAACCACAGGACTGGCTTGATATGGCGGTTGGGTAGAAGCCGGGTCACCCCTTCTGCCCGAGAAAAATGGTTGTTGGCAAAGTTCTCCTGCGAGTGTCCAAGGACCGTTGTTTGCATGAGTCTAACCGATAGACATGCTATTGAGAAATCAATGAAGAAACACGAATCAGACCAAAAAAGCATTCCTGAGGGTCCACCTTGGTGGTGGAAGCATTTGTGTTCTTTAGCTCAGCCTAACGTGGTAGCGTTTGCGATAGAGTTTGCGTCGTGT